AACATGACCAGCAATGTATTGTGGTTAATAAATCTAAACTCCTTTTGTAATTCGATTTCAGATGGCCAAATATCTGAACATCTCACAGGAGATATATGAAAGATTGTTTTACTCCGATTAAACCCTTAAGTCGAGATCTCACAGCGATTATGTTTGGTTTGAAGGAAAAGATATGGAAAATTTATACAGCTTTCCCTTTAACTTTTCTTTCATTTTCGCTATTTTTTTTCGTTCAAAGTTCAAATCAAACACAGCCTTATTGCCGACTGTAGGGGGGCGTCGGAAATTTTTATCACGAGGCCAAAAGTTACAGATGATTTGGTGGAATGAATAAATGCACGTTGCGTCAACCATTACTAGAACGTTACGTGTATGGCTTTTGATTTACATGAACACGTGGGAGGTTACAACAAGGCACAGTACTTTTGTCCTAAATGATTATTTAAATTAAATACCCACCTACACCCGTCACCCACACAGCCACACTATATTTTTATTCTTTAAATAAAAGAAGAAGACCCAACTCAAATTCCCTACAAGTCAAAATATTTGTTTCTGGTTTAAATTTTAATTGGATGGAACGAGGCGGGACCCAAACTCTACCGAACTAAAGTTGGAAGGAATTGAAGTTAGTCACGAGCTCATCAAACAACCCTCGACTCTTGTGTATCTAACAAATACAATTAATAAATATTTAACTACTTTTATTGGGTTTATGCTTATCAAAACAAAATTGATTTGTAGTTGGCGTGGCGATGGGGATGCACCCCAGCCAATCCACATCCCAGCCTTCCTTTATTGCCGTGGCCCGTAGAGAATTTTAAATGGGCTGGGCCCATTCAAAACTTTCATCGGCTTATGTAAACGAGTCAGTTCCTTGAATCCTTTAGCAATAGAAAACATAGAATAGGGCACGTACCACCACAGACAGAGACAGGGAAATCAGAAGAAAGCACATGCTGGGGCAAGCATTGTCGACTATTGCATTTATGTTTTGTTTTTTTTTTTTTTTTCTTTCTTTCTCTAGCTAACTTGTTTAATTATGTTTCTTCCTTGCTTTCACGACAATACTTGACGGGTCTATCTCTACTTCTCTAGTGTCTAGCAAAGGCAAAAGTCCTGGATACGGACTTAACTACTTTCAAACATTGTGACTGTTCAAGGTACCTTTTCTGAATCAGCACCTACCTTTTCTTCATACATCTTCATTAACTATTTAAGGAGCTTGAATCAGACTTCAAAAACACACATTTTTGAAATCCACTTTCTCTCTGCTACAGTCTCACAGAAGGTTTCTTTGGAGATTCTTCAACTTTGCTGGTTGTAGATTCTCGCCCAAGGCTCTATTATATCCTGGGAACGGATTTACCTGTAACCCAACAACAAACTCAGTGAAACCGAGTGGGGGCAAATAACGTTTTAAAGACAGTATCTTCAGACGCGCCTCAGAGCTTCTCCTCCAAAATTACAGTAACCCCATTTTCCTACAAAAGAAACTTTGATTTAACTGCTGCCTGCTGATTTGAAGAAGCTACTTGTTTTGTGCAGAATTGAGAATTTCCCTTATTGGCTTAATAGGAGATGGTGATGTGTGATAATGTACAACTACTTGGTCATACACCTTAGTTTGATTTGGTAGGGTCACTTGGATTGTATTGTTTCATTCAGCTTGTGAAATTAAAACTACTTGGTCATACACCTTAGTTTGATTTGGTAGGGTTATTTGGATTGTGTTGTTTCATTCAGCTTTTGAAATTCCTTTTACACCCAATCCAAAAAAATAAAATTCTCAAACATTATTTATTTGCTTTCTAGATGATTCCCCCAGCAAAGCCACATAAAATCTACCAGATAGTGAGTGTTTGCCATCCCCATAAAACACCAGTTTTCTCTTTTTTCTTTTTTGAATAAATTTAATACATTATATTATATGAGTTTTTATTTAAATGGCTGGTATATTCGCATTTCATGGCAGGCGCTTGACTTTATATAAGTTTTCTTATCTTTTCCTTCAAACCAAACATAGCAATAAGAAAGGTCAGAAGATTTCTCCTCTCAATGTACGGCTGTGGCACAAAATTTCCCCTGATTAGATGCCTTACGCACGATTCCCTTGTTTTTATTCATAGAAAATTTGCCTATTTTGTTTTATTGGATTTATTTCATTATATAAATATTAAGATAAATAAAAATTATTTTATAAACAAGAAAAGAATGGATAAATGCGCACATGACCAAACAGGCTACTACGCATGGGAATATGCTGTGAATATAAATGTGTGAATCAGGTTACATGACCAATCATGAGTGAACATGCACTTATGATTGCCACGTAGCCTGATTCACACGTCAATGTTTGCAGTAGATCCAGTCTCGCATGCAAGAACAAAGAAATATAGGATTGGAAGGTGCCACGTAGTTGTAGACTTGTAGGCTATTAGGGAAGACCTAGGATTGAATTTGAATCCCAAGGATACCCCTATTGTGGAGTTCAGATCTCTTCTTCACACCGATCTCACATCACAAATCAGTCGTGTATTTGAATATATCTCTTCATCAATAATAAATATCGGTATGTGAGATGTTCTTGATGCACGGTTGATTTATACTATGAGATCAGTGTGAAGAACGCTATGTGAGAAGTAAATCTAAATTCATTGTAGATTTTATTTTGCTTAGTTAAAAAAAAAGAATATATATATGAATTATATATATATATATATATAAATTCTGTTAGTTTTCTAGATGGAGGAAACAAAAATCTGCCACACCTGTTGGCGTTGCATTAGGCTAAAACTGTGAATCACGGTCATCAACTTATTGCTGTGGCGTCAATGGAGGAGTTTTACGTAGATTGCATTATATGAGTATAGGTCAAGCTCATGTTGTTGAATGTTGATTCAGCTCAAGATTGTAGCTGACAGCTTATTTTGTCATGATTGTCTGCTAGGCAGCATAAGAATTCATATGTATATTTTCTATGACTTTGGTTGCCGGATAATTGAGAGACCCTTTACTAAAACGTAAATTGTAATTATTTATCATAAATTCAGAACATCACATCAATTTTTTTTTTTTTTATTTCAAACACAGATATGATGTATTTGTATTTCATTAAGATTTCTTGAGACAAAAATGTTTTATCGTTTAGGCTTAGTTTGGAAGGAGTATAAATGCAAATATGTATAACGTAAAATCTTATATTTTGTATGTATTTGCATCATACATATTTGTATTTGTATTTTTTTAAAACTTAGGCTGCGATTGAAAACGATGCAAATGGAGTGTAAATCCAGGTTCATGATAAATTTGCATTTTGGTTTATTTTTGTCTGTGTTTGACAATATTATATTTATGCATTGACAAATGACAGACCAATGCATATTTACATTGATAATAAAATGTAAAAGTACATCAATAAAAAAGAAGTGAATTTGCATTCAAGTGAGCTTTTGATAAAAAAAACAAACAAAAAAAAACATATGCTTTATTGAAATTTATGTTTGCATCCATTACAGCTAAAAATTTGTTTGGTAAGAAGGTAAATTTCTCAGTGCAATACTAACCCAAACTTACAATTTATATGAACCATTTTACACCCTACATATTTGCATCGTTTCCAAGCGCAACCTTAGGCTCAATTTGGAAGGAGTACAAATACAAATATGTACAGTGCAAATTAATACAAAAAACAACATTTTGCACTCTACAAAATAAAAAAAAAAGAACGGTTCACACGTATATTTGGTGTGGAATTGTCCAAACTTGCAATCACACAATCGTAGAACAATTCAATGGCAACATAGTGAATTGTGTACATACCATCGTTCAAAATTAAAAAAAGAAAGAAAGAAAGAAAGAAAGAAAGAAATCAACTGATCGAAGATGTGTTTGAATTAATTACAAATGGTGGTGTGTTCATACGTTTTCTTTGAATTGTTCTACCAGGTAATACAAACTCCCATATTATTAAGAGGGTGTTTGGTTTCATTTACATTTATGGGTGGTCATTTATTTGTGCTTTTTCACTTTAAATGTTTCTTATTTTTGTTGTTTAGTTGGGCTTCACTTTAAACGTTTTTATTCTCCACTTCAAATTAATACACATTAAAGTGTGACACATCAGCATTTGGTTTTAAGAAACGCTGAGGCGTTGGGGGAAACAAGAATTTGGCGTTTCCCCAAATGCCCCATGCACAAAAATCAAAGTGTTTCAATTTTTTACCATTTATTTGATAAATGGTGAAACCAAACAATTGTTTCATTTTGCTTTATATGCAATAAACGCCAATGCCTATGTGACACTGATGTGGTAGTGTTTTTTCAATAAACATCAATAGAACCAAACACATACTAAGAAAGCCTGAACAACATACTAAGTGATACACTTGGGTTAGGCTTAGAAAAAACATATTATCACGAAAGCTAACATCCACACATAAAAACATAGGGTTTCATTATGATATGGAAAATATATGATATGGGAAAAACAACTGACCAATAAGAATCATAAACGTGCTAACAAATCAGGTGTCATTTATTAAAATTCATGGGCTGACTTAGAAAATGCGCATCAACATATATAATAAAATCATTAGGATGAAAACTCATATAAATCCCATACATGCATATACGCACATCATTAATCCACCATTAAATGCAAAATGCCGAAATGACCATGAATAAGGATTTTAAGACATTTTAATAATAGAGTTTTCTGTGAAGTTTAAATTAATGAGAGAACGTTGAGAAATGGTAAAGGAAAAAGATATGCATGCATATGGATTTACCATGCATGAAACCAAAGATAAATCCCATTTATGCATAAGAAGTACTGATTTTAATGATTTTTTTTAAGAATGATGCAGAATATGGGTATGGGTTTGTATAGATTATAAGATTAATTAATACTCATCTATAGTACTGATATGGTTATCAATTGGATCACTTGAATATAATGAACTTAATTAACTCTGACCAAAAATAAGAGGAAAGGAAAATGACCGACTAAACATTCATACTCTTTATTGTTTTGCTGGACAAAGAAAGTGAGCTAGGCACCGTCAATCCACACACAAGCACACATTCGCACATACATACATACATGTTGATAGATGATACAACAGAGACATGGACACCCATATAATGCACATATTAAATAGCACGTGACCACCATTGTCCAGTGTTGCTATGATCATGATGCATTCTAATTCTTAAATCAAGGGTCTCCATCTATCGGAATATGGTTCCCACCACATTGTCCATCTCTATGCGTGAATTGCGTATGACCAGTGACCACACACACACCCCCCGCGCACTAAGACTAGACTGAACTGTAGCTATATTATAAATAATTAAGCATCGATCTACTGTTCAACTAGTTACATGTATCTATGCTGATTGCTGAACACCATCAAGGCAGGAAGGTAAGCACGTGAATTATTGCTGTGATGGTTGGGGGTTGAGGTTGGTAAGAAAAAGTCGTCGATTCAACTCAACTCTGTGTTGTACAATCTGTTTTATTTTTGAAAATTCCCAACCAGCTGGACCCATTCAACTCATTATCATTAGGCCCATAAAGATTCCGCAAAGGAATCCAACTGCGCTTGATCCTCCTCTGGATTGAGTAGTTGCAGGTACTCCTTATACAGCTTCTCTAACATGTTATCCTTGGGTATCTGAGATTCACACTCATTCACACCTTCATGATCATGATCTTCATCCCCAGCATTAATAACTACACCACTGCAATCACCTTCACCCCCGGCGTCCTTTATTTCTGATGACCATGGAACCTGTAAATCTTCTGTTTCTGTATCAACTCCTCCCTGTTGGCTGGCAGGCGACCCGCTTAACACACTGTTGTACTCGAAACTGTTGTTCCTTGAGATGGGGAGTGAGGTGATCCTGATGGCCTTCGGTAGATGGACCTTGATCTCTGCTGTATCTTCATTCCCTCTGCTGCTGCTGCTCTTCTTTTGCTTTTTGTTGCCGTTGCCATTGCTCTTCTTCTCCCTCTTCTTGGGGTCTCGGTCGGTGGGTCGTGGTGCCCTCTTCTTGACATTCGACTCGGTTCCATGGCTCTTAAATCTTTTGCTGAGATGGGTGTTCCAGTAGTTTTTGATCTCGTTATCAGTTCGACCAGGTAGCCTTCCTGCGATAAGAGACCATCGGTTGCCCAGAAGCGAGTGGAGTCTGATAATGAGGTCTTCTTCATCAGCGCCGATGTTCCCTCTCTTGATGTCAGGCCTTAGATAATTCATCCATCTTAGTCTGCAACTCTTTCCACATCTTAGGAGCCCTTGATGCAGAAACCAAAATTTGAAAAACAAAGCAGAAGCCGAAAAAGAAACCAAAACAAACAAAAACAAAAATTCTCAGCCTTAATTAGTTTGTTTGGATATTGAGAAGAAGGATATATAGTAAAGAAAGTAGAGATATTCACAGAAAGTACTGCAAAAGAAGTTAAATATAGATAGCATATATAGACAATTTTTCATGATTATATTCTCTTACGGTGGAGGTTTGGTGGTGGATGGGGGAGAAGAAGAAAAGGAAAAAACAAATAACTTCCACTGTTGACATTAATGAAATATTTGACCAAGGAAAAGAAAAGAAGAGAGAAATGAGACTTGGTATTAGTAGCTCAATTTGCAATTCGGAAGAGGAAAACTCAAAATTTAGAACACAATTGACACAGACAAACCATCAACTGTTTGAAGTTTGGAGAGAGAGAGAGAGAGGGGTGTGGTGGGATAGATACCTGCTTTTTTGGGCAGAGATCTCCAATGGCCTTCACCATGGGCTTCAATATACTTGATAAGCAATGTATCTTCTCTAGCAGTCCATGGACCTCTGTGTAAACCCACCTTAGAGCAACAAGGTGCTCTTCCCATCTCACTGATTTTGTGCAGGAATACTTCAATTCAGTCCAGTGAGAGGGAGAGTGGGAGAGGGGAAACAAATTACGAAGAGAGAGAGAGAGAGAGAGAGAGGGAGAGAGAGAGAGAGAGAGACAGCGAGGCAAGCAGAGGAACAGAGAGAGATGCTCCGGACGAGCACAATGCACCAGAAACTTGGATCTCTTTTTAAACCCGAGAGGGGCGGAATTAAAATATTAGTTATTTTACGTGAATAAGAATGTGATATTTTACATCAGCTAGGTTGGTGACGAAACGAATGGCCTTCACACACAATTATATTTTCTTTATATGTAACAAGATAAGTATTTTCATCTCTCAATGTAAAAATATGGTTAGAGTATAGGTGAGATGTGAGATGGGAGAGCTCAACGAACCTTCTCCTCCATGGCTATCTGCCCTTCTCCCATATACTGCACATTGTATCTTCCCTCTAATATTCCTCGCGTATCCATGTGGTGGGTGGTATTTATATATATATATATATTTTAAAGGGTAATAAATTACAAAGGCCTCCCCTTCTATTATGGGATCAGTGACAAATACTCCCTTAACTTTCATTTGTGATAAAGCCCTTTAAATTTTTACTTTGTGACAAATAACCCTGACTATTAAGTGAGATGATGTATACCAAAATGTTCACCTAAATTTTCCATATTTTCTTTTCCTCGCCATTTTTTATTAAATCCTAATTGACCAAAAATACCTCCATTTCTCCAAAGGGAACCAACTAAAATAACAAAAATAAAAAAAATGTTTTTTTTTTTTAATTCTTGATTCATTTCACTGACACTCCTCTTCTTAAAATATAAAAATTATTCACTCCTTTCTGTAATAAATTAAAAAACCCAAACGAAACCATAAATTTAGATTTATCAAAAAAGAAACCTCTACCATGTCACTTGAATATTAAATCCAGCCAAAATTCAACAAGGATCTACAAGAACAACTAAGAGAACTTCAATGTTATATTTAGAAAATTAATTGAATCATAAGTCAATCAAATAAATAATATAAGGGTAGTTTGGGGATTTAAAAAATTAAACAATCTAATGATAATATTTTTTCAAAGTTAATTGGTGGAACTCTAATGAAAGGGTATTTGTTGCAAAGTGAAAGTTCAGAAGAGTTTTTGTTGCAAATGAAAATTCAGGGGATATTTGTCACTGACCTCATGATATAGGGGGTCTTTGTAATTTACCCTATTTTTAAATCCAAAATTCCCAAATCACCCTTGTAACTTGTCAAATTTATTTACAATATGATGACAATACTAGCTTTGGCTTCACGTCCAGGTTGTAAAATTTAAAACATTTTCCTTAGTGAAAATTCCCAATAGGTACCATGTACTTTAGGTTGAGTGACAATTTAGTACCCGAACTTTAAAACGTGATGATTTAATACCCAGCGTTAACCAACCGTTAAGTGACATGCAAAAAAAACAAAAATGCCCTTCAAGTGTCATCTAATTTTCTTTATCAAGTGCCGCCTATTCATCATCTTGCCTTTTATCTTTGACAGAGAAACCTTTTCAAGCACTTCTGCTTGCTTCTTCTCACTCACCATTACCTTTTTGTTGTTGTTCTTTGGGATACTGCACTGCACTGGAATTTCTTCTGCTCTTCTGAAACATGCCGTTTCCATCGCTCACAGCTTCATCCAAAACTGGGATCCGCCGATGGTACTGACCCCTGTTCTACTGTTTACCAGAGAAACGGCAACAACTGATGTCTACAGGCTCGTATTTATTTGTTTCCCCTACTAGCTGACAAAAAACCATTTCTTCTTCTTCAGTAATATCTTCTTTTTCCCTATCAAAAATAAAATTTCACTATATTCAACTCYTAAACTTCCCTCTTATCTTCTTTCTTCATTTTCTACATTATTCCCAGCAGAACTGCAACATCAGTAGTAGATTAGTAAGACTGTTGTAATTGGACTCGTCAATACGTCCAATCTTGGGGGAGGCGTATCTCATAGTTCATAGATCCCTGAGGGCGGGAGCTCCTCTTCTGTTGAGACAAGGAAGCATTACTCCGAGCAGTCACCGGATCTGCATTATCAACTTCCCACATAACAAAAATTACGTTAGGTGTATGTGTCACTAACTTGAAAAGGGAGTTGAGGAAACTCAATAACTTGCCTACCATTTTCRGTTGCAGCAAAAACTCCATGGATGCGTGGACGAGCACCCATGCCATCGAAGTTCAAATTCAAGGCCTGCACCACTCTTGCAGGAAGTAGAACTGTCGAACACGCTGATATACAAAAAACACAAGTTAACCCCATGAAAAACCCAGATGCAAAACAAATACTACCACCTCCGGCCACCCAAAAACAACTCATCAAAATGAACTGAAATACAAACCCAATATTTGTAACAGACATCCAGATGAAAGGACAAAAAAACTTATACAGGCCCCGAACAACTTAAAAAGAAATTGCATGGGAAAAAAACGGATCACTAAAAACCAAATACATCAAACAAACAACACATCAATGAGAACAACGCCCCTGTAAAAGACATAGCTCATAGAAAGAGAAAAGGAACAAAGGCTTTAGAAGGGAACAAAAATTACCTGGTTTTTTCCGGGATTCAACTGGGCTACCCATCCTACGAGGCAAGAAGACACTGGTTCCACTACACTCCCTTCTTGTACCGGAGCCTCCAAGGAAAACGGCACTCATACCCGAACCAGCTTGAGGCTGCTGCTGTAGAGGCGACCACGCAGATGAAGATAAGCCCAGAGGACGACCACCATATCTGCCGTTACCAAATCCTGTGCTTGGAGGTTAGCTAGAGAACCCAGTGGAAAATGCTTTCTGTCCGGTGCTAGGAGGTTTGCTAGAGCTTGAAGCAATTGTTTGCCTCTTTTTCATTTTCTTGAGGAGATGATGAACAATGTTCAAGGGTAATTTTGATATTTTTAAAAATCTTAAATCGCACATGAAGTCACGTGGTATATATAACTGACGGTCTATTAATGTTAGGTACTAGATTGTCGCAAAATGAAAGTTTGGGTACTAGATTGTCGCGTTTTAAAGTTCGGGTACTAAATTAGCACTCAGCCTAAAGTACACGGTACCTGATGAAGGGCGATTTGGCCCGACCTAGTAACAGGGGGACACGTGGACGCGGCCTAACTAGTAAGATGACAACTCAGCCCGACATGCCCAGCCCACAACAAATCGAGCTCGGATAATCAAACTACCTCGGGACGAGTTCACCTCGGTGTAAGGTCAGATCAGGACCACTTTGATCCCAAGGCACTTCGGCGTTTGCCCCAGGCTGGATCTAAAGAGCGGTAGGTCGGGTAATATTAACAGACCACTACATGGCAACCCCGAAGATCTCGTCATCAGATTCTGGGCCTCGCGGGATCACACCGCGTAACAACTATCGTTATCTCCCCCGACCGATTCAGGCAGACTCGATAAGCCCCATCAGTTATCCCCATTATCGCGGAAACGGATCTCATCGTGTCGAGGAACCCAGAACCACTCCGTGAAACCCGCGAGGACTCCACTATATAAAGGCTTCACCCCCCAGGGGTGCAAGGTATGCGTGATTTCTTGCACTCAAGCTCTCTCATTTTCAAGTAATTTTAACTTGCTACTAGCCTATTGACTTAAGCATCGGAGCGACCTCGCCGGGTTAGCATCCCGGGGTTCTCTAATATCCTTGCAGGTTCAGTTCGCCGTCTATTTGGAAGCCAGGTCACCTTCAGCTGGGAGCAGCCAGATCACGCTCAATCAATTGGCGTCGTCTATGGGAAACGCTACTAGAAGCCTCTTTCCACCAAAAATCTCAAACTTAGAATCAATGGCATCCTCCAGCAACGCCGGACAGAACGGAGAAATGAACGTCTCCAGGGGGCAACCTCAGATCCCAATTGTGTGCATCGGTCAGTTCACCATACCGCTCTCCACGGGTGGGATCCCAACGTTGACTGTGCCTCAAGCAACTGTGCCCGTGAACGCCCCACTTCTTTCTGTAGTGGGTGCAACCTTTGCTTAACCATCTGTGGTTCCCCTTGGAGTCGGACAGAATCAGCTCAATGACCTGGTACACTGCGTGCGGGCTATTCAAATGCAATGCCCTCCTCGTCGGGGAGAGACTTCCAAGATCCAGAATCCTCTCCGGAGCCAGGTCTCGTCCCGCGGTAGGAGGGAAAGGTAAGTCACTACTCCCGCCTTGCAGCAAGTGAATAGGTCGGGAGACACTCAGCCCGCCAGAGCTACTTCACCTCGGCCCTCGCAACTAGAAAGTTCGCTTGCAGGGAACCGGTTCGGGGTTCTAGCCGCGGACTCCAGACGAGGACCCTCTGTCCCCAGCAGCCAGCGTCAACAGTCTGAACCTCTCCATACCAGGACATTGCCCGACAACACAGAGGTCAGTAGCACCAATGCAGAGCCAGTCAAGAAGCAGCAAAGGCGGCGTCCTAAGGCACGTCGAGCAGTAGCTCCAAGCCAGCTCGTTGGACCTAGTCAACCCGAGCAGCCTAAAGGAAAAGAGGAGGCGAGCTCGGAAGCCACGAAGACCTCTCCTCTCCTCTCCGTGTCATCTCCTTTGTCCTCCGAGCTCCTGGCCACCCCAATGCTGAAGGACTTTAAAGTACCTCCGCTGGATAAGTATGACAGGTCATTCGACCCAAATGATCACGTAGACTCCTTCCAGTCCCAGATGCACCTAGCTGGGGCTGATGAATCTTGCATGTGCGTTGCCTTCTCTACGACCTTCAAAGGACTAGCTCACACATGGTACAGGAACCTCACGCCCGGGATGATCAAGAGTTGGGCACAGTTCGTGTAGATGTTCACCTTGCACTTCATCACCAGCAAGAAGTGTCCGAGGTCACAATAAAGCCTCCTTAACATAGTCCAGAGAGAAGGAGAGTCGATTCGAAGCTACATTAAATGCTTCAATGACACTTGTTTGCAGATCCCCGACTTGGATTCCGCTATAAGACTCACGACAGCAAAGAAGGGTATTACCCACAGGGAATTCAAGTGGCACATAGTGGCAAACAAGACCAAAGACATCACTGAATTCCTCAAGCTCGCCGATCAGTTCATCGGGACCGAAGAGGAGATGAACTAGAAGACTGAAGCCCCGACGGAGAAGAGAAAAAGGGAAGATGACAAC